TGTGATGAATATAGTATCAGTATTGTCAATGTCTTGACTACCACATATGAAAAATATACACATACCCACCTTGGCTGGGTCCAACTCTATTCCCCTCATTACTTTCATGACAAGCACGATAATGCCACAGCATAGATGAGATGTTGTTGTTGTACCCCAGTTGCTTGTCACACAACAAACACCTCACCTTGGAATGAAAGAAATGACTTGTGAATATGATAGTAGTAAAACATTTCAGTATACAGGCATATTATCATGGGGTGTATCAAGGATGACAGAGACAGTGAGTACAGGAGTCTGGTGGACGACTTTGTTGTCTGGTGCAGAGAAAACCACCTGCAGCTCAATGCCTCAAAGGCAAAGGAACTGGTCATAGACTTCAGGAAGTCTGGACCATGCCCACGACCAGTTCTGATTGAGGCACATGACATAACTACAAGTACCTTGGACTGTGGCTGGACAACAAGTTGGACTGGACATGCAACACAGACTACCTGTACAAGAGAGGACAGAGCAGGCTGTACTTCCTGAGGAGGCTTCGGTCATTCAACATCTGCAGGAAACTCCTGCGGATGTTCTACCAGTCGGCGGTTGCCAGCGTCCTTTTTTACGCCGTGGTGTGCTGGGGCAGCAGCACATCCAAAAGGGACGTGTCGAGGCTGGACAAATTAATCAGGCGGGCCAGCTCTGCAGTGGGCATGAAACTGGACTCCCTGGTGACAGTGGCAGAGAGGAGGACACTGAACAAACTCCTGGCCATCATGGATGATGCCAGCTACCCTCTGCACACTGTCATCATGTCCCAGAGGAGCCAGTTCAGTGACAGGCTGCTCCTCCCCAGGTGCAAAACCAACAGGACCAAAAACTCCTTTGTTTCCCCCGAGCCATCAAACTGTTCAACTCTGAGCTCGGGGGGGGGAGGAGCAGCAAACGGGGAGAGGTGGGGAGCGAGGGGTGAGGACATTAGGGTGAGATGGAGCGTCATGCTCTATAACCGGACTGTGTGCAATATTTAGGCACTTTGGCAATTTTTGTTGCTGTATCCAGTGTTATTATTATTATTACTAATGTTGTGTTGGTGTTGTGTTGTTTTTTTCTAGTACAACAATTTCCCTGAGGGATGCACCAAAGGGATCAATAAAGTTCTATTCTATATTATGTATAATACCTTATTGAGTGAGATCTGATCAAAGTGTTGCCAAACAGGGGAACCCTTTGCCTCTTAGGCTCCATTACAACAATTTTCTGTACTTCACAGGTAAATTGGTGAAACTCCGACATGAGCACTAACTCGCAAATTTTTCGGGGCTCCATTGCGCTTTATATGGTCATAAATCGCGTCAATATTTGAACCACTTCCTGAACCAGCGAGGCTTCAGACGTCATCAGTGATGTCACTCGCCCATAATGACGCAAGCCTCGGTACGCGCTTCATAAAAGATTTCCTGGATTTCTCGACACACGCTCTGAAGCCTCAGCACAGTACGTCCCATCACCAAACAAAAGAGTGCGCACAACAAAACAAAAACGAAACAAAAAGCAGAACATAACGAAGGAAAACAAAACATAAAATGGCATAAAACAGCACAAGCACTGTTAAAACAACTTAAAAATAGCAAACCCCTCCCTCCCCCCCCCCCAAAAAAAATGCTAACAGTGTCTCAAAACAGCAGGCGGCAGATCCAGCTGGGCAGAGGAAAAACAGGAGTTAGTTGCCAGTTGAGCAGTACGCGGCTAGACGAGTGCAAAAACTAAGACTGACTGCGTGGTATGACGGTCTGGCGTCTGAGCGTGGTCCGACCGCTGCTGAAATCCTGGCTGATTGAAAGGCTGCAGCTGGAACGGACCAATCTGCTGATTAGTGATCTGGTACACCTGTCCACATGCTCCGCTGTCAGCCGTGCTGAAGCCTGCCAGAGAGAGAGAGAGAGAGAGAGAGAGAGAGAGAGAGAGAGAGAGAGCCAGAGAGAGGGAGGAAAAAGGATCCAGCTACCACTAGCTGGCACCAGAAGTTGAGGGCATGACAAGTATCTGGGTGTCTACCTCGACAGCAGACTAAGCTGGAGGACCAACACTGACTCTGTGTACAAGAAGGGGATTCGCAGACTATTTTCTGAGGAAGCTGAGATCCTTCAATGTATGCAGTATAATGTTGGGGGTCTTCTACCAGTCTGCTGTGGCCAGTGCCCTGTACTTTGCAGTGGTCTGCTGGTGGAGCAGCATCAGCTCTCAGCTCTCTCTGCCTTGTAGCATCTGGTTCTGTCATTGGAATTGCCTTTTGCACATTTCTCACACAGACTTTTCTACTTGACCTATTACAGTTACTATCTATCTATCTATCTATCTATCTATCTATCTATCTATCTATCTATCTATCTATCTATCTATCCAACATTGCACTTAGAACAATGTTATGTGGAAAGGGCAACTGACTGATAAATGTCGGAATATTCCCATCCAATTTCTTCATCAAATGCTCTAAATGAATTTTCAAACAATGGACTTTGGTGCCATCCGGTGTCTGTTTTCTGTATGACACAATTCCAAAAAGTATGGGGGCATTATTGTAGCAGAACTATTTGTCCATGCTTACTGAGAGTGGTCTGTCTGTATCTCAATCCATTCGTCTGAAGTGAGATTTGTCAGTGTGTAAAGAAGTCGTCCCACAATGTGTCTGTCTGTAATCAGGTTTTCAAATGTGTAAAAAATCTGCACATCTGCATTAAAATTGGGACATGTAATAACAGTTGTCAATGCATACAAAGAGTGTTCAACGCGCACAGAGGTATTCGTAGTTAAAAAAAACGTATTTCAGTGGAGCAGCTTCCCCACTGGCTGTCTTTTCACACATGACTTTTGCTACACTTCTACCGTGAGAGATCTGAAACTGAAAAGTATCTGAAAATCAGGGTTTCTGTGTCCTGAGTTCAGGCTAACAGGATCGTTCATTGTGGCTGCTGCTGGTCTGCTGCCCTGTACCTCAGGTACATGTCTATATTTTAATACAGATGAGCAGATTTTTTACACATTTTAAACCTGATTACAGACAAATTGTGAGACGACTTTTGCTGATTCCGGTTCACATTGACAACTTCTTTTACACACTGACAAATCTCACTTCGGACGAAAGGATTGAGATACAGACAGACAACTCTCCATATGCATGGACCAATAGTTTCGCGGCCATAATGCCCCCATAAAAATGGAGATTCAAATTCCAACCCTTACTCTGACAATTTTAAAGTAATTCCAAACCAGTGCAACATTCCAAGCTGGGTATTCTGGCCCATGATGTTATAAGCAGGTTAAGAAAATGTAATTTTAAAATTATGGATTGCTTTGGGAAATGACAAATGAGAAAACGGTGTGATAAAAAACAGACACTGAATGTATACATTTTTTTATTTTGTTTGCAGGTAATATGCATCGTAGTCACATGATTCCACGATAAAATCACAGCACTGTATGGTATGATAGTGACCTGTGAGTACGTAGCTGGAAGCAACGCGTGCAGAGAGTGATGCCTTTTTTAAGAAGGCGTAATACATTTTCCACCACAATTACAATGAAAGGGTGGCTCAGTGGTTAGCACTGTTGCCTCGCAGCTAGAAGGTCACTGGTTCGCGTCACCCAGGATCTTTCTGCGTGGAGTTTGCATGTTCTCCCCGTACAGCGTGGGTTCTCTCTGGGTTCTCCGGCTTCCTCCCACAAGTCCAAAAGCATGTTGAGGTTAATTGGTGATTCCAAATTGTCTGTAGGTGTGAATGTGAGTGTGCTTGGTTGTCTGTCTCTAAGTGTAGCCCTGCAGCAGTTCTTCCTCCTGTTTCCCTTTCCCTTCTTGTGGGCATGAGTGCAGTGTATTTGTCAATTTGTGTGCTGGACACCAATTGGATAATCAGCTGAATAAGAACACCTGAAGCAGGGAGTGGCTCACCATCATTCAGTCTAACCCTGACATAAAAGAAGGGCTAGGTTGTTTTTTTTTTCACAAGAAGAGCGAGCTGAGAAGCGGCTTGATGATGATCTATGAGTTTTATTTGATCGATTAACAGGTAGCTGTTGTCTTTGAAAATTTGTTTGCACACCTGTGAGGACACCGGTTGTCCTACGTCAAGATGGCCGCACCGTTTGGAGGAAAGACTTAAAATAATCTTCTTTCCCTTTTATATGCTTACATTTTTTATGTTTGTTGGTACACATTCTGATCCAAGTGGAATTACATGCGGTGAATTATGCTAACTTGACTGATTGCTTCATTTCCCCTTTAAGCTCTGTTCTAGTTTTTGCCTTGCTTGTTGTTCTTTTTTTCGAGTTCTCCATGTCACTTCCCGTCTGGATTTCCTGCCTTTTGCTGAAGGCAATTCCTTGCACACCTCAAGCTGGTTCCACTGACCACTCTCCCGTTCATGACTGCCAGCTAAGTAGAACGTCTTGTAGGATGCTGTATTCAATGTGTTGATTTTACTCTTGGATAGCTTATTTAGTGGTGGTGGACTTTTCAGTTGTACTTATTTTGTGTCGCTCACATTTGAAAATCAGTAGTGTTGTGCAGTTTTCGCGCAGCTTGACACTTTGTCTTTGTTAATTGTTGTACCCTATGCGCGTTTTCTGCCCTGTAGTTAGTTTTTCCTGCTTCGTTCTGTGTGCATGTGCATTATCTCTGGTAACTCCCCTGTCCTTGAAAACTTTCATAGCCTTATACTCCTTGATCCTGGTCAGTTCCCTGCTCCTAGTTCCCTTGTATTTATTCCCCCAGTTCTCCCCTTCGGTAATTGCATCTCTCTTGTATAAAATATGGTATTCATAAACTGTTAAACCTTTAATTGTATGCTGTGTTCTCTGTCTGCACATGGATCCCTGAATTCCCCATGACACAAACGGACTGACCAACAGATCTAATTGTCTTAGGGTTAGGGTGTTCAGGCAATGCGTATGTGTAAATGTCAAGTGGCATTCAAAGGCAGGTAACTAGTAGCTGCAAAAGGCACAGACAATGAACGTATTGTTTGATGGAATGAAGTGTATTAGATTTGTAAGCACAAGAACACTTCAAAATACTCCACAATGAACACCAAAGAAACCTAGTTCATGTATTTTTTGATGTGAATTACATGTGCTTTTGCAGACAAATTGCTCTAATGTGAATTTTTATTAAAATATCACATCAATGTGAGTTCTACACTTATGTCAGTTAATGTTCAAGCCTTGTGAGATCTGACACCATGTGTAGTAAATGAGTGATTAACTCTACCTAGCTTGATCCAGATGTTGTTCCTTTAGATGTTGCCAGAAACCAAAAAGGCCTAAAGGAAGTGAATACTGGACAGAAACACAGTCCCATATGAAGACTGATGTTGCACTGTGTCAGCTAAACATATGTGGCAACAAGGGTTCATTGGCTAACACGTCGATATCGGGTTTACAAGTTCTAAAAAAGAATGAAACTAAGCAATTCAATGTCAAGTACATCCATAGATTCAAATACACAGACAGCATACACAGACTGAAAAGTTTAAATTAGAACTTCCATGAGATATTTTGTATGCAATAAATACATTTCGAGTAACTGTTTTTTTTTTTTTTTTTTTTTTATTTTGACAAAATGATGGCAAGAAAATAAAACCTGTATAATAATTATAAATTTGTGGTTTAATATTTCCTCCTGGCCCAAAGTCTATACTGAGCACAAGTGGGGTTCATCACAGTTCACACAGTCTTTGCATGAGTTGAAAAGCTCCTCTCCTCTCCATTTGCTTGAAGTCAAAGGTCAGTCTTTTGAAGTACTCACACAGACATCCATGATGAAGGCCAATTTTTCCAAAGCACTGTTAATATTGACTGTGAAAAGAAAGTGAGAAGAATGAAACAGTGTTAAAAACCTTAGTTTAAGAAAAACAAACTTAAGTAAATCTCTATTACGTAAAGAATGGACATTACACATCATAAAAGGACACTGTCTCTAGTTTAGTTACAACTAGCAATGTTTACTGCATCCCACTGAAAATAGACCCTCAGCGGAATTCAAATCAGTAATGCTGTGGTAATAGGACAGGAGAGTTTGTTTTGGAAATCACACTAAAACTAATGACTGATGATAAAAAAAAAAAAAAAAGACACTTTATTGCTTCAAAGGAAATTTGTCTTGGGCAATAGTGTGACAGTACAGCTGCAACATCGCAACATAGAACTGAACATACAATGAAGACAATACAATACAATACAATAACAAAAAAATAAAATCAACCCTGCTGCCCAGAGTGCACAGTAGAACATGTGTCATACATAGTCCAGTCATGTCCAATGGCCTGTAAATGAACAGTACCAAAGTAGTACCCATCAGACGGCAAAGTAGCACCTGACATGATCTCTGTGTTTGGCTCCATCTAGTGGAGCACCTTTGTATTACCTCTACTTTCCGGTGCAACAAGCCAGAGGGACAAGTGACCAGGTGTTCGGAGTTACAATTAGCCAATTCCTCCAGCTGTGGCGAGGCATGGCTTGCCATTCTCTCTACAGACCTTCACGCAGTATTTAAGATGCCAGCAAGCCACAAGTTGACGCCGAATTCATTGTAAAACACACTTTTCGCAGCGCTCGCTGCCTTCTGAGAGCCACCATTCATCCCCAACTTCTCACCGTTGGATTCTACTGACTCCAGCTTTCCATATTCTCCGTGTCCCTCCACTGGTCATCTGGTTCATCTCCGTCTCCTCTGGTTCCCCCTCCCTAACATTTAGTGTTGTGGTTTAACCAGTCTCTCGCCTACTCAATCAGTAGTGTTAATATTAGGTTTGTGTTCCTCGCAGTAAGTTTGATTAGTAATTTGTTAAACTAGTTTGTCATCCTTTAGAGGACATTTTGGTAATTCTCCTTTCATAAGTATTCTTTAGTGGTAGTTTATATTACCGATTTGTTTGATTCTTTGGTTCACATTTGTATTGTGTATAAATATTATTTATTGATTCCAACTGTTTGGTGATCGTGTCATTTGTCTGCGCTTGAGCCTGTGTTTGAAACTGTGACAGCGCCACTGTCTAACTCTTAACTCTTATAGACCAACTTTTGAACTGCAATAGACTTGTGGTGTCACAGTGTGGTTCTTAGACTACTTGGTCACTCTACAGACAGGTACTCAAGGGAGCATGTGAGCATGACCATAAAAGCTTGGAATGTGAACAGACTCTTCAGGACTGCTTTGGTAGCACAGACTGGGGAATGTTTAGATCTGCAGCTCAGAGAGGAGACAGTTTCGTGGCTCTGGAGGAGTATGCTGCTGCTGTGACTATCAGGGAATGGGATTTTGGGCTGTGTTCGTGTTCTCCTGCAGGTTCCATCAAAGGGTGTCCTGAGAACTCCTGCTCTGCTGAGGCTTGTTCCCTGCAGGTGTCTTTTCCAAGTGCTTCCTTCCGAGTGTTCGAGTAATTGTTTCTTTCCTTTTCCAAAGATTTTTCATGGCTCCATTGTCCATCTCGTCCCTCATCATGGGAAATGTGAGGTCTCTTCCTAAAGGGATGAAGAGCTAACAGCACTGACCCGGCTGCAGTGGGAGTATCAGGAGTGCAGCCTTATGTTGTTTACGGAGTCATGGCTGAACGAACTCACTCCGAACTCACTCGTACGTTTGGACAGATTTCACCTGGTCAGAGTGGACCGGAGCTGGAGGGAGCGTGGGAAGAAGAAAGGCTGGGGACTCGCCATGTATGTGAATGAGAGATGGTGTAATGATAGCACGTTAGCGTTAAAGAGCGGCGCTGCACGAAGGATGTTGAACTGCTGGCGGTTGGTTTGCGTCCGTTTTATCTGCCGAGGGAGTTTTCACACGTCCTGGTGATTACAGTTTAAATCCCCCCCTTGGCTGATGCTGCTGCGACCTGTGAACTCATCCATAGTTCAGTGTCCCAGCTGCAAACATCACACCCTCAGTCTCTGATCATCATCTCAGGAGACTTTAATCATACATCTCTCTCTACCACTCTCCCCACATTCAGCCAGCATGTGGACGGCCCAACCAGAGACGGTGGGGCCTTGGACCCCCTGTGTGCAGACACCGGGGATGCATATTAATGATGTTCTTGTACTTTCTTTCTAGATTTTTGGATGCTGCTGTGGTGTGTAAATTTCCCTTAATCAATAAAAATTATTCTATGCTGTGAATGCTGTGCTTCACAATGTTTTCACGCACCTCACGGGGAAAGACACGTATGTGAGGATGCTGTTTGTTGGATAAAGCTCAGCATTTCATGGGGTCATCCCTCTGAGGTTGTGTGAGAAGCTCCTCCTCTGACACCATCCCTCTGTACCTGGGTGCTAGATTTTCTCTCTGACAGATCTCAGTCAGTCAGAGTTGAGGGCCGATCATCTTGTATCAGAAAGTTAAGCACAGGTTGCCTCCAAGGCTGTGTGCTGAGTCAAGTGCTCTACTTCCTCTTCACCTATGACTGAGTGGTCACCAGGGGGGTGGAGATGGACTACAGGGCTGAGGTGGCCAGGCTAGTGACATGCTGTCAGGGAAAGAAATCTTTCAAATCAAATCCGGTTTATCATTTTGCTGTACAGACAAGATGAGAGAGCGTTTCTTCAGGATCCTTTGATTAGTAAGTTTTGCAGAATGAACATCTGGTATAGGCAAGACACCAAACATTCACTCTCGCTCTCTCCTGAAGGGGGTCCATGCGTGCCGATGTGATGTTGAACATGGTGAACCTCTTCAGGTCCTGGTAGGTCTTCAGGGACACAAAGACACACACGATGGTTTGACGATGGTGAAGCCGCAGATGCTGCCCAGAGCTAGCTGTCTGTCTGTTCGCCCAGAATAATGTCGTCCCCTCCAGCTGTATGGCCGTCTGGGATGTTGTCATGGAGCCATGTTTCTGTTGAAGCAGTCTCTCCATCTCTGCGAGTTTCTCTCAGCAAACATAGCTCGTTCAGTTTGTTATTGAGGGAGCGGACATTGGAGAGTAGGAGGACGGTCCTGCTGGTCTGGAGGGGTTAGCCTTTAGCTTAGCATGGATCCTGCTGGTCTGGAGGGGTTAGCCTTTAGCCTAGCATGGATCCTGGCTCTCTTCCCCTCCTTTGTTTACGTTCGTACCGTTTCTGCTTCTCTCTTGGGTAACTGCCGGCATAGTCTCCAATCAGACTCCGTGTTGGTGTAGTATGTCCACATCACAACCAATTGCCGCAATTCCAGCGCTGTTCACTGTCCTGATGTTCAGCAAAATCTCCCGGCTGCAAGTTTTGCGGAATGAACGTCTGGAATAGGCAAGACACTCAAAACATTCACTTTCATTGTCTCCTGAAGAGGCTGCTGCGTCTATGTGTGCCGCCATCACCATGGCAACCTCCGTGAACACAAACAAAACCAAGGAGATGATTGTTGACCTGAGGAGGAGCGAGGTGCTGCATTCTCGCATTTACATTGGTGAGACTGAGGTGGAGAGGGTAAAAACATTTAAATTCCTGAAATGGGGATATCGGGTACAATTTTAGAATTTTATTTATTTTTTTATCTTACCTTCATTTTATGGGGCACATAATATAAAGACATGGCCTTGAATGTCTTCCTAAGTTAGTATACTAAACTTGTGTCTTTTTGTGCATTTTCAGCTATACAGAGCTTTTTGGAAAATGCGACCTTTGACCTCTGTAGCAGTCACCACTGCATGTATTGACCCCAAACCTGAATTACTCTGAGAAAGGACCATACCAAAGTCATATCTGAAGTTATAGGTTTGGAGACACACACTCACGGCAACTTTGGATTGTTGGGTTCTCTATTAAAAATTAGTAAGGTCCTACCTTACTATGTGAAGTGCTATGAGATGACATATGTTGTGAATGAGTACTATATAGATAAAATGGAATTACATTTAAACTGAAAGCCAATACAACAGCTGGAACAGAAATCCTGCTAAATTGTGTATCATGTTGAACTGTGACAACATGATTCATTATTACTTAAATGCACTAATGACCCAAAGATACAAAATATCTGAATAAATTGGGCAATATGTTCGTATAGTAAGAGCACACATACCTGTGACTTGTGTTGCTGTTGGTAATGGCTCCTTCTGCCATCTGCAGGGGGCGCTGGCTAGTGGCCTGACTTGCACTGGCAAGATCACTTCCTTCAGCAAAAGGGTCTGAGTGGTTTCCAAAAAGACTACCTTGTCTCTGTTTTAGAGAAAATAGCACAGTTATTGTGGGCTATATTCATAGTTGAAATATACTGTTTTTCCTATCCGCCAGCAAAAAAAACATTACACATTATATCAATTAACCAAAACGTACTGAATGCTTACAGATAAAGTGAAAGAGGTCCACAATAATGGCACATGTCTTTAGGGTTAAAAAACTTTGCCTTGTAATGCCCATGCCTCTGCAGGTCAGAGCTGACACCTCCTGATGGAGCGACAGTTTAATATGCAGGTGTGACTTTAGCTCATTAGTCTATTTGTATCACACCTTTCTTTTTTTATTTATCGCCGTGTATTTTATTTATCAAAAAAAATTTAAAAAAATTCACTGGCCAACTGATGTAGTTGTTGTGTGTCAGAGAGCAATGAATTCTAAATATTTAGAAAGAAAAAAAAGACAGACACATATAGGAAGTTATTAATGTAATTATTGTAAAGTAGTTGTTCAGAACATAAGGATACCTTGCATGGACTGGTGTTATGGCATGTACTTTATCACAGCCTGATTAGATGTGCCAATTAGTCTCCTACCATGGTCTGTCCATCCATCTTTCTACCTAAGAGCACTAAAATACAGTACATTCCCTTATTTTGTTATAGTCTACAAAAGTGATAGTTTGTATGTTTGGTTCACTGATTTTATAAAACATAAACATTCATAGTTGAGTTTTAAAATATCACTCATGAGGTGGGAGGGAACTGGAGCTGTGTGGGATGCTGTTCAGTGCTGTAGGGGAGTGTTTGTTAATTGTTTTCTCACAAGTTTTCTTGGACTACTGCTTGAGTAAATACAAGAAAAAGTCGCTGGGCTGTTTGTAAAAATGGTCAGTTTTATTACCCTTAGGATGCCCTCTACTCCTCGGTCCATCTCTTCTTCTGTGATTAGGTCTCCAGAGATGGTCCTATGTAGCTCTGGAGCTGCCTCCTCCTCAATATTCCTCAGTCCTGCCTAATGGACACAGATGAGGACATGGTTAGAGAAAGACATTCATCCATCCATTATCTACACACCGCTTCATCCTCACTAGGGTCGCGGGGGGCTGGAGCCTATCCCAGCTGACTTAGGGTGAAGGCAGGGGACACCCTGGACAGGTCACCAGTCTATCACAGGGCTACACTTAGAGACAGACAACCAAGCACACTCATATTCATACCTACAGACAATTTAGAATCACCAATTAACCTCAACATGTTTTTGGACCTTGTGGGAGGAACCCAGAGAGAACCCAGGCTGCACGGGGAGAACATATAAACTCCACGCAGAAAGAACCGCGAACCGGCGACCTTCTCGCTGCGAGGCAACAGTGCTACCAACTGCACCACCTAGCAGCCCGGTTAGAGAAGACACTGTTATAAAACTCCTTCAGCACTAATTAAGTGCACATATTCACAGGGGACAGGGGCTGGTTCAGAAAATTCATGCTTAGATGACAGTGAACATATCATTAATGTATCCTAGAGTCATAGGGTGCTTCGGGTCATTCATCATGAGACACTCTCCCACGACACCAAGCTGATCAGGCTGCACCTTGTGTTCAGGTAGTGTCTCCCCACAGGTCTCCTCTCCTCATCTGGAGCAATCTCAAGAATCTGTTTGCTTCCTCGATGATGTTCTTGATAGCTCTGCTCGAGGCCACTCTCGTGATGCCAAGTTGGTTTAAAGTTTTCTAGAGTGACTGCCCCACAAATGCTTTGCATCAATGTTTGTTTGGCAGACATGCAGTAGCACAGTTAGTTTGGAAGCCCTTGGTAGTGTTGCTGTGACAAAACAGCAGTGTCTGTGGCAGCTGGGCTTGTCGCAGATTCCTTAAGCCGAAGAATCTCTGTTGGGCCTTTTTAACCAAGTGTGAAATGATGTAGGTCCAGCTGTCAACTGTTTTGAAATATATGAAATATATAGGCTTAAACATAAACTGCTACGCCATGTGTTTGGAGGGCGATCTTATAACAGTTTAGTTCTTTGTGATATAAATTCCACAAGATGGTTAGAAACATTCTTCTGAGATTCAATAGACTGTTGCTGGCTGCTCTGGCTGCTCAAAACTAACACAGCAGCATTATTGTTGATCACAGTGACATGGTGAGAGAGTGATATCAATGTCTGTGGACAACACACAAACACCAGCACACATACGTGGCTAGGCTCAGGCATATCATGCTTAAACATCTGTAAATTACTTTGCTTACTGATGAATATGTGTATGCAGTAGTCAGTTTGGTCATTTTGGCTTGTGTGTGTGTGTGTGTGTGTGTGTGTGTGTGTGTGTGTGTGTGTGTGTGTGTGTGTGAGAGAGAGAGAGAGAGAGAGAGAGAGAGAGAGAGAGATGTTTCTGATATTTAGGATTCTATAGAACTATCATGTCAACCATCAGCTATCAACTATCACTGCAGAATAAAAGCAAACAAAACTGATGGAATTGGTGTTTTTACTATTAATTAAATCAAATCTAATTAAATGGACTGCAATCAATGAATAATTAAATGATTATCTTTCAACTATTAACTGCTTACCTGTATCTCATGAGAAGCACTTTTCTTAGTGGGACCATAGCCATAGTACTCTTCTTGTCGTTTCTTCAATTTTCTGAAATAATCCTGGATTAGGAAAGTGGCATAGAACTTTCCCACTGTCACCTCATCATCTGTTAAAACAAACAACCCTGCAAGGTTAACAGCTGGAATTGCAAGACAGATTAAATCCCAGATTAACAAGAAAGGTAACAAAGAGACTGAACAAGACCAAGAAACACAGGGTAAGGAACAATATCAAGCTTACACTACCGGACGGGGCCACACACTGGTTTAACAGTGAACACTAGGGGCGGCTGTGACTAAGGCGGTAGAGTGAGTCGGTCAATGATTGGAAGGTTCGCGGTTCAATTCCACCCTGTCACGTGTCATGGTCGTTGTGTCCTTTGGCAAGCATCCACCTTGCCTGGTGTGAATGCGTATGAATGGATTGTTTGAGGTGGTGGTCGGAGGGGCCGTAGGAATGGTAGCCACGCCTCTGTCAGTCTGCCCCAGGGCAGCTGTGGTTACAATCATAGCTACCACCATCAGAGTGAATGTGTGTGAATGAATAATTGACAGTGTAAAGCATCTTTGAGTGTCTAGAAAAGCACTATATAAATCTAATCAATTGTTATTATTAACACAATTACATACAAAGCTAATGGCTGAGCTCGGAATTAACTGCCAAGTTGGGGTAGGGAGAGAGGAGTTGGGAAATATGTGGGCCAGGGAGGTGTGGGGGGATAGAATCCGGAAGGCTTGTGAAGGCAAGGACATGCTGAAGATCCAGATGGCTAATCCAAGGGCAGGTATTGGGATAATACTGGATGTGGCGGAGGTGTGTGTTTAGGAGGATTCGCTTCCAGGTCCTGTCACAGTGGAGTAGGAAGGCTTGAATTGAGGAAACAGCAACCTCCTGCTCCTGGGAGGGAGAAAACGGGGGCTGATTCTCCAGAGAGCATTGGAAAGGGGGCAGCCTAGAAAAAGAACAAGTGACAGTATTGTGCACATATTCCATTGCATAGGCAATGCAGTGGGGAGCTGTTTCTCACTCCTGGTTTACCTGCTCTGGGTATTGGACTGAGGATGGTATTCAGAGGACAAGCTGGCGAAGAACACAAGGCTTTCCTCCATAGTTGGGAGGAGAACTGCATCCACTTGACCAAGACGATGATATTCCAAACTTTTCACAAGGCATTCCCACTGACATTATGCCAGCAATCTCTCTAGCAGAGTAGAGTTTAGGCAAGACTAAAAATGGGAAGACTTTGAGAAACAATTATCTGAGAATGACAATGATAAATTTGGTGATAAAGTCCAAGGTGATATGAAACTATGATTGCTGAGGAGTGGGTAAAGGGTGCAGGAGTCCAGAGCTGTGCTGGTTAAAAGGTTTATTCCTGCCACAGACAGGGGAGATGGCAACAAACTCTCTGGTATTTTTTATCCATGGTAGGCCTTACCAAGGTCTTTGAGAGGAGAATGCAGAGGGGTCAAGTTTGTTGTCGGTTTGGGAGCATTGGGACAGCACTGCCTCCACTCCTGTGTTAGAGGCATCCACCTTCACAACAAATTGGAGCACCAGTTCAGCCTGAGTGGCGAGGTGACATTCTTGTAGTCTCTGATGAATCTGTGGTAGAGTTGGCAAATACCAGGAAACATTAAAGCTGTTTCTGGTTTTGTGATTGAGGTGAATCCTTGACAGTGAATATAACTTGGTGGGGTCCATCCTCACCTAGCCCCTTACCAATAATGCAACCCAGGAAGGAAATGATGGACACGTGGAACTCATATTTCTCTGCCTTGATGACCAGCTTCTTTTTAATGCGTTTTTCACATCCTGACAGAGATGTAGAATGTGTTCTTTAGGGGTGCAGGAGTAGATTAGGGTATGACCCTTAAGATGCCATTCACTGCTTCGTCCATCCTTTCTTTAGTGATTAAGTCTCCAGAGATGGTCCTATGCAGCTCTGAAACTGCCTCCTTCTCAATGTTCCTCAGTCCTGCCTGCCAGGGCGGCTCAAGCTTAGATGATAGAGTGGGTTGTCTGCTAATCACTAGCTTGGCAGTTCGATCCCCCACCATGCAGTCAAGATTTAGAGTACATCATAGCACACAAACAGCACTGGTGAAATTCACCAATGATTTTCTCATAATCTCAGACAGCAGACTCATCTCTAAGCTTGTTCTGCTAGATCTCTGTCCAGTGTTTCCTCTACATTCATTTAGGAGTGGCGGGTCGCCATTCCTAAATCCTAGCCACCGCTCCTTCAATTTTAAAATTTTTTTTTATTTTTATTGTCGCAAATTCACCACCGCCGCATGTCTCCACCTTCACAGCAGAGTCCTGCACTGGGTCAGGTGAGTACTAAGGTAAACAGCAGATAACTGTTTTGCTCAGTATCTACTCTTTCTTTAATTACTCGTGAGAGCGCAGAGAGTGACATCATGTCCAGCACCAGGCTCCAGGTCAGAGAGCCAGAGGAGGGTCATCTTAGAGAATGGGGCAGTGACTTACTGGAGAAAAGGTGGATTTATTAGTTTATGATAAGTCAGAATAGATTTTACAAGTCAAATAGACATTCGCAAAATATTGATGCCCAGCTAACGTTAGGCAACATATCGGTATCTTAAGTTAATTGGGCCCACTGCCAACTCAGTGTCGCTAACGTGAGTAAACTAACTGAGAGCATTAAGCTAACATCTACAGGCCATGATGGAACTGCTGACTGCATCTTCAGATGAGCCTGTTCAAATGTTTCTCTAAGAAGAGAAAAACACCTGATGAAGATGATGCTAGTCAGGTATCGTTAGCTTTTTACTGCCTCATAAATGATGATGGTTAGGTAAAAATTACTGATCACACTTGTGATCAGATGTGATGTGAGTGTAAATGATCTAACGTTAATGTTTTATGTAATCGTATAAGACAAGTAACATTAGACAGGGAGGAGCAATGGACACAGCAGACATTTAATAATATATTATCAGACACAAACTAGAAACCATTTTAAATGATTAGGGTGTCGGAAAATGAGAGAAACAATCTCATATTGTTTTTATTTGTAAGTGCATACTGACTAGAGAAACAGGCTGCAGGGGATCAGCCTACAGCCTGTCTGCTGCTGAGCCTCTCTGAGAATTTCCCTACAACAGAGTCTTAGAGCTCTTTTATTTAAAAAACAAAAAACAAAAACAAAACAGAAAAATTAATTGTTTTGAGCCTGGGTGCAAACTTTGTCACTGATTCTACAGCCCCATCAAGAAATTGTTATTTATTGCTTTTATTTTCATTTATTTGACTGTATTGTTTTCTTTTTTATTCTTTGAATTTTTACATTCAGCCTTTAAAAAGCCATTTTCAACTGGACATTCAATAAATAGGTTGTAAAAGTATAATCTGCTGTCAAATGTCATTTGTTTACACCGCCACGGCTCCCGGACAGCCTGCTGAAAAAAATCCTAGAGGAAACATTGCAGTCCTTCATTTGACACTGTTGATCTCAACTGTTGATTGCATATAAAGATGGACAAACCCTCTTGAGATGTTACCCATAGGTTTTTCTAAGAGTGGTTTTGAGGCTCAGTGTGTTGACTTTGCCCACCTCTATCTTGGTGTTGCCTGACACCTACGAACTTCTGGCTAATTTGGAAATGAGAAAAGAAGTGGAAAGTCTCTGGAGCTAAAGTAGGTCGTGCAAATGTTTCTAGGCCACAGACTACCCTATGGCAGTACCCACTTGTCACAAAGTTTAAAAGCCAATTACAATTTAAACATTTGACGTATATACAAGTGGAGCTCCACATGGTTCTGTGCTAAATCCTATCCTTTTCATCTTGTATGTGCTTTCCTTAAGCAATACTATTCTAAAGACTGCATAAACATTCAGTGCTATGCAGATGACACCCAGATATTCCCATTAATAAAGCAAAAGAGAAACAAATCAGTTTGTTAAACTACAAGCCTTTCTGGACTGATTGAAACTGCTGAAGTGAGCAAACTGACAGGGATCAGCAAGAGCAGTCATATTTTTCCCATAATGCCTCTTCATTGGTTTTTCTGTAAAATTTAGAATAGAATTTGACATACCATGGCTGTTGTTCAATATGTGTACTTGTCCATACTTGCATTTTTGTGGACTTGTGAAACACCATCAGTTAAAGCCCAAGTACTGTTCCAATTCAAAGTACCTATGTGGCCAAGTACAGATGAAATGCCCAGATGTGTTCTTGCTCCGCCCACATTATCGAGGATGCATCAGGACCAGACTTGTGTGGACTTGGGAGAGAGGAGTATCCCATAATGCATTTTGTGCCAACCAGCGGCAAAAGCCAAGGAGAAACTTTCAAATTTAATAGAAGTTTTTTGTAAATGCTACTGTTATTGTGAAAGAAAACGTCGTTTTAAGAGTATTTTCGATGAGAATGTAGTTGTATAAACATCGAATCTGTGGTCAATGGATTAAGACAAAGTCTGCTTAAAAATCTGCTCCAGCAGCTTTGGCGACGTGACTGTCCTGGTTTGACAGTTTGTCAGCGGTCGCAGTAGCCACTGAGAGCAGCCTTATCTCGGCAAGACAAAATCTGATGGATCTGTTTTTCACTGTTCACAGTCAAATCGATTTGAAAGAAGCTAAAGTTAATGTTGATAACTGTTGTACTTGATCGCTGCCTTTGCACCTCTGAATTATTTTCTTGTCTTCATTGCCTGTAGTACAACTTAGTTAAATTTTTATGACTGTACTTGTGCATTAAAAATAATATATAAGCAATATTTCATTGGAATGACAGCTGGATAAACCCAGGTCCTCACTGACTGCTGGGAGACTCCACAGAATATTAGCAGCTTAAGTAAAGCTTAAGTATTTTTGCAATTAAAATTTTTTCAGTTGTATTTCAAAGATGAATTGTCTGATATGAATTATTGAGGTCAGAATTAAGTTTTCCTCTAACATCTGACCTGTTTGGTCAGACAATGTCTATGCTTGAAAAGGTTTCTGTTTTATTACTTGAAAGGCAGAGTAAGAGCTCATCTCCCTTTGGGTTCTGAGAGAAACAGGCCTTTTGTGTACATAGAAAAAGTCGTAGATCTTTAACTTCAGCTCATGCAAAAAGGGGAGCAAAAACAAAAGTGTTACGTTTATATCTTTGTTCAGTGTATATACATCATTAATTACTGGACAAATAGATGTTTTCACTGTACGGAAAATCTGACTATATGAGCTGAGGTGGTGACATTATCAAGTACGCTTCTGTTCCAACTGCACATGAACTGCGATGCATTCTCCCGTCCTCATGAGTCTGCACTGTAAGTACTAAATGATCAAACTCAGGAAAACTGTAGAATCAGAGGCAGAGCCTTTTTTTCTGGCTTTTGTCTTGATGAACCAAATCCCAGTTGAGGCTGGAGGCCAGACACCCTCTCCTACTTTAAGATTAGTGTTATGTGGGTAGTGGGGCCAGCATAAATCAAACACTGAACCTAGGATAGTGGGTCTGTGTTTCTTGTGGGACTATTCTGTGGGACAGAAATTACTTATTACTTATTAGTCTGATTTTTTGTATCATTGTTTTTTTTCCCTTATAGTCACACCTTAGTAAGCTTTAGGCAACTAAACTACTTAGATTCATGCACCAAAACTACTGGGTTAGGTTTAGGGAAACACATTTGGAAAGTATGCACCTCCATTTTCTTGTTTACTATGCAAATAAATCCCACCCCACCCAATTAATACCCAATATATATTTCATGGGAGTGACTATTGCATGTATGAATTTTGTGTCTTCTTTCCCCCATAGTTTGTGCTTTGTCCTCTCTTTTTTCCCCCCTCTAATTGTCTGTTTCTGCACACAAATCTCTGGTTCTGGAGCTGTATGTTTTTGCTCTGTGGTTACTGGCTAGACCAAGATGCTCAGTGTTTATTGGTTGTTATTTTTTTATGCTGATTTCTCTCTTCTTTCTCTTACCCCAACCAGTCAAGGCAGATGGCTTACACTTGGTCTGGTTTTTGTCTAAGGTCCCAGTCATGGAAGATTGTCTTCCCCATTGTGGGGTAAATGTTAACTTAACCCTATTCAGGACTTTTTGGGTCTTTTGGAACCCAGGCCATTTTGTGTAGGTGACAGGTATTGTTTTTTTTTTGTTTGTTTTTTTTTTTAAGATTTCTTTTTATTTTTTAATTTAAAAACAGGGACATTTGTGGAATTGCATTTGTTGAATGATATATCTATTCAGTGTAGATCAGAGAGACATCAGCACAATTTCTGCTAGGTCTTTCTGCTTTCACAAAAATATACTTGAAGTAACTGCACACTGCCACTTTTTTCCCAATTTGTCTTAAATAATGTATAGACCTCAGGTAAGTGAGGTGAACCATTTGTGATTGAGAGATTGCCAAGTTCCATCCATCTTCTCCCGCTTATCCGGAGTCGGGTCACGGAGCCAGCAGCCTTAGCAAAGCCGCCCAGACTTCCCAATCCGCACACACCTCCCCCAGCTCTTCCGGGGGGACCCCTAGGCGTTCCCAGGCCAGCTGGGAGACATAGTCCCTCCAGCGTGTCCTGGGTTTTCCCCAAGGACGCGCTGGAACACCTCCCCAGGGAGGCGTCCAGGAGGCATCCGGAAAAGATGCCCGAGCCACCTCAACTGGCTCCTTTCGATGTGGAGGAGCAGTGGCTCTACTCCGAGCTCCTCCCGCGTGACTGAGCTCCTCACCCTATCTCTAAGGGAGCGCCCAGCCACCCTGCGGAGGAAACTCATTTCGGCCGCTTGTATCCGCGATCTTGTTCTTTCGGTCATTACCCAGATCTCATGACCATAGGTGAGGGTTGGGACGTAGATTGATCGGTAAATCGAGAGCTTTGCTCCCTTGCTCAGCTCTCTCTTCACCACGATGGTCCGGTACAGCGACCGCAATACTGCAGATGCTGCACCGATCCGTCTGTCAATCTCACGTTCCATCCGCCCCTCACTCGTGAACAAGACCTTGAGATACTTGAACTCCTCCACTTGAGGCAAGGAGTCTCCACCGACCCGGAGAGGGCAAGCCACCTTTTTCCAGTCGAGAACCATGGCCTCGGGTTTGGAGGTGCTGATCCTCATCCCGCTCGCCTCACACTCGGCTGCAAACCGCCCCAGTGCATGCTGAAGGTCCTGGTTTGATGAAGCCAACAGAACAACATCATCTGCAAACAGCAGAGATGACAATCCAGAGGCACTGTCCCTGACCGCCATGCGATGTTGCAGAGACGTGTCAACCAGGACAATCCCACAACATCCAGAGACTTGAGGTATTCAGGACGGATCTCATCCACCCCCGGAGCTCTGCCACCGAGGAGCTTTCTAAACACCTCCGTGAATTCCGCCCGGGTGATGGATGAGTACGCCTCTGAGTCCACAGTCTCTGCTTCCTCTTCTAAAGACGTGACGGCGGGATTGAGGAGACCCTCTGAGGATTCCTTCTACCACCCAACGACCTCCCCAGTCGAGGTCAGGAGGTCCCCACCTGCACTGTAAACAGTGTTGGTGGAGAGCTGCTTTCCCCTCCTGAGACGGTTTGCCAGAATTTCTTCGAGGCCGACCGATAGTCCTCCTCCATGGCCTCCCCGAACTCCTCCCAGACCCGAGTTTTGGCCTCTGCGACCGCTCGAGCTGCTGCACGCTTGGCCTGCCGGTACCTGTCAGCTGCCTCAGGAGTCCCACAAGCCAAAAATGACAGGTAAGACTCCTTCTTCAGCTTGACGGCATCCCTTGCTTCTGGCTGCCACCACCAGGTTCGGGGATTGCCGCCGCGACAGGCACCAGAGACCTTACGACCACAACTACGAGCGGCCGCAGTGACGATGGAGGAGGAGAACATGGACCACTCAGCCTCCATGTCTCCAGCCTCCCTTGGGATCTGGGAGAAGCTCTCCTGGAGGTGGGTGTTGAAGACCCTGTTGACAGAGGGTTCCGCCAGATGTTCCCAACAGACCCTCACGATACGCTTAGGCCTGCCAGGTCTGGCCAGCTTCTTCCCCTGCCAGCGGATCCAACTTACCACCAGGTGGTGATCGGTGGACAGCTCGGCCCCTCTCTTTACCTGAGTGTCTGAAATACGCGGCCGGAGGTCTGATGATACAACTACAAAGTCGATCATAGACCGCCAGCCTAGGGTGTCCTGGTGCCACGTGCACATGTTGACACCCTTCTGCTCGAACATGGTGTTCGTGATGGACAAACTGTGATTAGTACAGAATTCCAACAACAGAACACCACTCGGGTTCAGATCGGGGAGGCCGTTCCTCTCGATCACCCCTCTCCAAGTCTCTCTGTCGCTGCCCACGTGGGCGTTGAAGTCCCGCAGTAGAACAAAGGAGTCCCCAGTCGGGGCACTATCTAATACCCCTCCCAGGGACTCCAAGAAGGCCGGGTACTCTGCACTGCTGTTGGGCCCGTAGGCCGAGACAACAGTGAGAGACCTGTCCCCAACCCGAAGGCGTAGGGACGCGACCCTCTCGTTCACTGGGGTGAACTCCAACACGTGGCGGCTAAGCTGGGGGGCAATGAGCAGGCCCACTCCAGCCCGCCGTCTCTCCCCGCGGGCAATGCCAGAGAAATGAAGCATCCAGCCTCTCTCTAGGAGTTGGGTTCCAGAGCCCAGGCTGTGCGTGGAGGTGAGGCCGACTATATCTAGCTGATATCGCTCAACCTCCCGCACAATCTCAGGCTCCTTCCCTCCCAGCGAGGTGACGTTCCACGTCCCAACAACCAGAGGCTGTGTATGTGGACCAGGCCGTTGAGGCAACCCACCTCGACCGCCGCCTAGTCCTCTCTGCACCCGACCCCTATGACTCCCTCTGCGGGTGGTGAGTCCACAGGAGGGCAGGCCCATGTCGTCCTTTCTGGCTGAGCCCGGCCGGGCCCCGTGGGCAAAGGCCCGACCACCAGGCGCTCGCATACGAGCCCCAACCCCAGGCCTGGCTCCAGGGTGGGGCCCATACCGGGCAACATCACGGTCCTTGATTTTGTTGTCATCATAGGGGTTTTGGAACTGCTCTTTGTCTGTCCCGTCACCTAGAACCTATTTGCCATGGGTGACCCTACCAGGGGCATGAAGCCCCGGGCAACATAGCTTCTAGGATCATTCGGGCGCACAAACTCCCCCACCACGATAAGGTGGCAGTTCAAAAGGGGAGATTGCCAAGTTTCTTTACAATAACAATTGGCAAGTTCCTTTACAATAAAATAACTACGAGCATGAAGGCAATATATGCATATATATAAAATATATTTATGTGTATGCCTCCTGATGACGCCTTTTTTTTCTTAGCCTTCATTAAAACTGACCTCCAATAGGTGGGATGACTTGATCCAGTAGTTTCATACTGGTACGCTTCCAGATTTTCTTGATAATTGCCCTTAAATCCTCATTGGCTTGTTCAAAATTACCTATGTAACAAAAGAGAAAATGGAACAAGGAAATTACAATCAAAAGACAGATATACCATAATGATGATTTAACAAAATTTCTTAATTCTCTTTGAATTGACATGGACTGTCCCATAAGATACCTCTTTCACATTATCGGACAGTTTTGTTTTATTTTTTACATTTTTTAAAAATAATTTGATACATAGTTTTATGAAATACAAATAAATATGGCTCTTCATTTATTGTTTGTAATGTTGAGTCCATGAAGTAAAGAGATCCCCTGTCTGTAAAATTCATGAGAAAAGACTAAGAAACACGTTGTTAAACACAAACCTTCTGTCTTTATTTTCAGTGCAGTTCTGACCAGGGCAAACAGTGTGGCATTGAAGGTGACTGTTCCATCACTGTTGAGAGGCATGTTCATGGAGACCAATCTCTGGACAAGCAAAACACAAAATACAGGTGTAAAGCTCCAATTGTAGTTCTGCATTGAATCTATGCAGAGCCTTCACTGTAGCATACACAAGGAGGCCATGCTGTTATGTACATTTTTTACTTGTGCACTGGTGTCTTTATCACTCTGCAATCTGTCGAAACACCTTTTAGCAGTGGGTTTTCAATGCCACTGGATTTCAGGTTTTTTGTGTACTTTGTGCAACAGATGTGGAGCTGATCATGTTGGACGTGGAGCAGTTACCATTAATAATAATAATGCTGCTAAAACAGAAGCAAGAGACGAGATCAGAACTAACTGAGTCTGTACACGGCTGGGTAGAGCTATGAAAACACGAAAACAGCATATGGCTTCATTGGCAGAATATTGGCTCTTGCATTATGAGCGAGCCAAATACAGGTCCAGCCTATTACATTAGACATGTAGTTTCACAGAAGCATTATCTTTGTGCAAGTAAATATGCTATGTAAAAATGGCATTTCACTAACAAGGTAGGTTATGTGGCTACACAATGCCTGTGGCCTATCTACAGTCCAGATTTAATGGTGTGAATTAGTCTTAAGATATTCATTGCATGCCAAAGTGTCTCTGGGCAAGACACTGAACCCAAAGCTGCTCCTTGATGGCAGGTGAGCACTTTGGTGTGTAATTGCGTATGTGTGAAGTACCACCAAGGTAGATGTGGCAATCAGTGAAGATCATTTACCATTTTACCGCTCACTCTTTGCCTGAGTGTTGCCCTACATGGCGACTTCTAGCCACCTCCCAAGTGTTTCCTTCGTGTTTCCTCCAAGCCTCCCTTCAGGCCTCTTCCGAGTTTCAGTGAGACCGCCTTTTCTTTGTTGAGGATTCTTCCCGTGTTCCCGCTTTACGTCTGTGCTTCCACCCGCACCAAACCCAAGTCTTCTCCGTGGCTTCCTGGACAATCTGCTCACTACCAGTAACACCCTCGCCTTGTTTTTTCAATCCCATCATTTCACCTCTGTTTCTGCAATAAACCTAATTTTTCCTAACTCCACACCTCCTGAGTGTTATTCTGCATTTGGGTCAACCTGGCTAGTTATCCGTGACACCTTTCTGGGACTGCATTGCTCATTCAGCTCAGTACACAAAAAGAGCCTAAATGGGCAGAAGATATTTTGCAATGAGAATAAATGAGGACAAAAGCTGAACCTGTGAAACTAGGAGTTTTGGAGCTCATGGCTCACATCTGATTCTGTGCAACATGTATATGTGGGTGGGTGGTTGGAAGGAGGAATGGATAGATATTGCATTTCATTTTATTAGTTATATTTTATCGCATAACAACTAAAGAATATTAGGGCAGAGCACTGAGTTGTGTAAAGGTCCTCTGTGGGTCTTATTGTTATTAGTATGTGGGAATTAGTACTATTGTAAATTAATCACGTTTTTGAGGGGCTAAGGGTGCTTGAACACTCATGAAACTTTGCACTGCAATGTATGTTTTTATAGTTCTATAAATGGGTGTGGCAAAATGGCTCTATGGCACCCCATACAAAGCTTGAAAGATGCGATCCCCAAATTGGTTCCACCAACATGTACCAAAGTGGGCTGCAATATTTTAGTTTAGGTACCTCCTCGGCTATACATTTATTCAGGAATTTTGCCATTTGGTTCCATTTTTGCCATTTGGAGCACACATACTTTCAAAAACTCCTCCTAGAGAATAAACCACTTCAAATTTGGTCAGTGCTATCTCAAATGAGCTTTCCATTAAACAGTATTGGGGTGACATGGCACATTTCATTGTACTGTCGTGAAACAAGAAATTAAAATTTATATTGATTACATTTATATTACACACTGTTGCCCATAAAGTTGGAATGAAATATTTATGTAGTTTTTCTCATGAAATGATTGTGACAATGTGATTTATTCTTCATAAAGTGTATATCTTCTCAAAACCTTCGAGACATCATAATATACAGTCATGGAAAAGGGGAGTTGTGGCATTGTCTTGTTGGAAAATCCAGTCATTCAAGGCAAGAAAGAGTTTTCCAGTTGATGGAAGAAGACTGTTTTCAAGAGTAGCCCTGTACATGACCTGGTTCATTCGCCCTTCACACAACTACATTTGCCCTGTTCCACTCATACTGAAACAACCCCAGATTGTCACTGATCCACCCCCATGTTTTACTGTAGGGGCAAGACAGTCTGGTTTGTCGGCTTCTCCAGGCTTCCTCCAAACCAGTAAGTTGACTGGAGTGGGCATCAACTGAAAATTGGATTCATCACTGAACAGAACCTTAGCCCAATCATCAACAGTCCAATCTTTGTGATCCCCAGAAAAGAGTAACCGGGCTTTCATCTGCCTTTCATTGATGAAGGGCTTCTTCTGTGCCCTGTGTGACTTCAGACCAGCTTCAACAAGTCGGTTTTGAACTGTCCTTGCTGAACAAGTTACATCTCTCAACAGTGCCCACTCATTTTTAAATTCCTTGGAGGTCTGGTGACAATTTCTTGACACAGGAACGGATGAGTGCACGGTCATCTCGTGGGGTAGAAAGCCTTTGCGACCAGCTAGCAATTTGGTAGTACCATGTTCGGCTTGTGTGCTACAGCTTGAATGTAAACAGGAAACCACTCTAGGCCTTTGCATGTGCAGTGCTGTTTATGACATGAAATGGCTTCTTATATACCCTGAGAATACAATTAAGCTTAAGCATGTCAAATAGGACATAAAGTATGATGTAATCAGCTGCATTTGTTGTCGTGTTCATTGTATTCTTCAGATAATGTACCTTTACTGGTACCAGGCATTAAAATGAACAAGAAATTGAAGAAAACAAGGGTGGTCTAATAGTTTTTTCTATGATTGCATGTACAATACAGAGTAAACATTTAACCACAATTAACTTTTGCAAACTGTGTATTCAGGCTTAAACTAAATTGGAGGTATTGAACAATATGATTAATGGTTTTGTTTCAAATTTTTCAACCTTAGTCATATAACAGGAAACACAAATTTTAGAGGATTTCATGCATTAGAATGTCCAATATTGTTCTTTCAAATGTCACTCGATCACTAATATAGAGTATGGCCACCCCCGACACGGATCAATGTATTAAGCCATTGTGGCATACTGTTCACAAGCTTGTTGATGGTGTCAATGGGCAAGGCGTCCCACTCTTCAGTCAGATTCCGAAGTCAGAATTTGTTTCACCTGGCTAACTGAGACTCAGTATGTAATCATTGCACCTGGTCAAAAGGGATTACTGATGTGTATAAATAGGAATAAAAAGGAACGGCCTTTCAGTCCCTCTATGGGACTTAATAGTCATTGGTGCACTTAAGCATCTTCTCACTGTGCACCTTACGGTTGTTGACTTGAAATGACTCTCCCACAAAAACTCACTTCTGTGAGGGGGATAACCAAACTCCAAGCACTGCCGGTTCACTCTGATTGCTGCATGTTCTTGCCTATTGTGTTAGGTTGTCCTCTGCCTCATTCTTCCCTCAGTGCACTTTTGCAGTGCGTCACATTGACAATTGGACCAATGGCAAACCCAAAACACTGAACTGGCAAAACCAAATACAGGTCAGTAAGGACTCTTCATTGTCTGACTGATGAGAAAAATACATCATTAAACTAGGATTACCACACTTGAATTACCACACACCAAGCTGACCATTTTTCTCACCTTGCAGGCAATGCGATGGGGACAGAACTTGCCAAAACCCAAAGGAGGAGGTATTCGACGCAGGAGTGTCACAACATCCAGATGCTTAATACGCCCCCTACAATGAAGAACAGAAAGTAAAAGATTTCATGTTCACACAAACAGACAAAACACCATTCTCAAATTTTGAAAAATATATAAACACAAATGGAGTCTTTTAAGAAATCCCCAAGTCTATACCTAAAGGAGACCAGTTGATCCCATTAACATCATACTTCATCCCTATGGTTTGACCCTACCTTTTACTCTACCGCACAGTTTACACAGGCTGTAACTCTTAGGTATGACCAGGGTAAGTCTTAGCCAACTATATAAGTGTATGCAGGTGTCCCCCTCTGGGTCCTAACTGGAACCACAGTAATGGTTCAAGCCACAGATGTCAAAACTAAACAGCACATACAGTGCTTCACGAAGTTCTTAGACCACCTGTCTAATTTGTTAAGCACTGTATATATACATATATATACACACCACCCAGCATCATGAAGTGCTTTATGGCGCACTCAGCTCTCAATATTTTATCATTTTAAACAGGAATGGGGTATTTCGAACGGAATTCACCTTTTTATATCCAAATTTGAGCTGGTTCACTGGGCTTCTCTGAGAATTCAGAAATTAATCAAGCAAACCATTCAACAACCAAAGCATTTTTTTCCTGTTAAGGAATGCAAGTAAATAACCATAATTTCACATCTTAATCAAGAAATAATAATGTGCTTTACTATTTTTTCTTTATTTTTATTTTTTTAAACAATACATTTGAAAATTCAGATAATAACAGTCGTTATATTTTAGCATTAAAAAGACCACTTTGGATAAAAAGCTTACTGGTTTTTGATTTTGGTATTTACCAATGCTGTTAATTTAGGGCAGCTGTGGCATAAACCTTACATGGGCTGGTGATCTAATTACATTTTTTAAGCACTGCACATACAAATTAACACTTACGTGGCTTCAGGATCATATTCTGCCCAAATTTTCTTAAACTCGTCCAAGTGCTGAGGTCCAAGAATAGACCAGTCCCGTGTCAAGTAGTCAAAATTATCCATGATGACAGCCACAAACAGGTTGATGATCTGTAAACAACAGAGCCGATATACAGTATGTGTTCAACTGCTCATGAAAAAAAAAGAAAAAAAGATTAAGGTAGAGGGGAAAATGAATCAGTTAAAAAGAGGCAGACTTTACATTTGGATGTATTTGCGCTACATGGCACTGTGCAGTACAGACATTTCTTGATTACCTTCTTGCAGTTCAGGTAGTGTTTGTGTTTGCATTTTACCCCGACCAAGGATTATTGTTGTTGACTAGTAGCTGTTAAGTCAAGTACTTAGTCAACTGGTGTTTACATAGTTTAGATATTAATTTAATTATCTTGTGGTGTACACAGATTCTGTAGGTCTCACACACCAAGGACACTATTATTTTGAAGGGGACAGGGGTAAGGTTTTCTGGGTTGTGGGGAAGTGGATGTGATATAAAAGGCTTTGAACTGTGAGTGAAGCTTGCTGTAAGTGGAGTCCAATAAAGGAACAGAGACTCAAGCTCAACTCTCGTCTCTCTTTTTATCGACTTCCGCAATCTAAATATATATTTTGGGGGGCATCAGAATTTGAATTATACCACTTATCAAACAACTATAACACAGTGCTAAGATCCTTTGTTGTGTAAAGTGGCAGCTCCACAACCTTTAATACGTTACTGTTGGACGAACTGGTTTCACAGCCATTCACACCTTGAGATAACTGAGTCCTGGGTCACTAATGGGCCATTAGCCATGTGAGCTGGAGTAATTATAAACATCTGAAACTCCCCAAAAGTCAGTTAAAACTGAAGAGGCGTCTTGAATGAAGGCGAAACAACTTCAAGAACCTAAAACAGAGGTCGAGTTGCTTTCTACTGAAGCTCCTAGGATGTTCTTTCAATTTAATTTTATGAGTGACACAGCAAACAACCAGACTGACTGCATAGCTATGTCCAAGGCAAAAACCCAAAACTATGACAGGTTGACCCCTATGCAGGAATATCTCCCACATCCCAGATCAGGGAAGGACTGAAGTGTGATAAACAGAGACTAAAGGATGATGACAGATGTAATTGCCAAAATGGTGCAAATGATTAATTTTTTGGTATGTTGAGCCAAAAGTAGAGGTGTCAGCATTGCAAAGGTGCCACTCTTTTAACCTGGCTAAATCCCCTTGGGAATTCATGCTGTGGAGCCCACCTAATCTGGAGCAGAGTTTTGGATTTAAATTATCTGTAAGATGCATGTCAATTTCACCAATTCATTTCCCGATGATTCTCTGTGAGCTACACAGATTCTCAGCTGGGGGAATTCATTACATCTGCAAACCTATTGAGCTGTACGTGGCTTTTGTCACAGAATTTTCTGAATTCATTTCACCATGGTGATGGCGGTGTGAATGGTTGCAGCGGCCCCTTCAGGAGACAACGAAAGTGAACATTTTGAGTGTCTTGCCTATCCCAGATGTTCATTCCGCAAAACTTACAGCCGACAGACTTTGCTGAACATCAGGGCAATGAACGCTGCTAAAATTGCGTCGCTCGGTTGTGATGTGGACATACTACACCAACATTGAGTTTGATCGGAGACGACGCTGGCAGTTACCCGAGAGAGAAGAAGGTGCAAATGGTACGAATGTAAACAAAGGAGGCGGAAGAGAGCTGAGATCCATACCAGGCTAAAGGCTAACCCGTCCAGACCAGCAGGACCGTCGCTACTACTCTCAAATGTCCGCTCCCTCGACAACAAGCTGAATGAGCTACATTTCCTGAGAGAAACCCACAGAGAATGGAAAGACTGCTGTGTGTTTGCTTTAACAGAAACATGGCTCCACAACATCCCAGACAGACATACAGCTGGAGGGGACGACATTGTTCCGGGTGGACAGACAGACAGCTAGCTCTGAACTTTTCCAGAGCTGCTGCAGGAGCAGGACACTGAACCTTGTCAGGGACTCCTCACACCCTCTCCATAAACTGTTTGAACTGCTGCCATCAGGCAAATGTTTCCGGAGCACTGAAGGAACGAACCTCCAGAATGATCAACAGCTTCATTCCACAAGCTCTCAGAATGCTGAACTGCTGATCTAGATATGCAAACACTTCTTTATCTAATTAGAGCCCTAGGACTACAGTGCATAGGACCCTCTTGAAAGTGAAGAAATTATTAGGGTCCGAACACTAGCAGTGTAAGGACCCTATCGTAATGCAAGGAATTCTTCTTATTAGGGTCCGAGCACTACAGGACCCTATTGGAACTGCTATGTCGTTTTTTCTTCGCCACAAAGAAACGCGTTTTTCGGGTCCTAAACGTATTCGAAAATGCACAAAACCTGGCACACGCATCAGACCCAGCGAAAATTTTTATAATTAGGGTGAAATACACACCTCAATAGAAAAATGGCTCTACGGCGCCACCTAGAAAGTTTCAATGGAGTCCCATTGGAAGCATGTTTGACCTAGACCTACACAATTTGGTAGGTAAATGGAAGAGGTCAGGACGAACAAAAAAGTTAGTGACAGCCATACCCTAAACCCAACAGGAAGTCCGCCATTTTGGATTGTTTGTTTGTCCAACCTGAGCTAACTCCTCCGAGGGGGTAAGTCACAGAGCGCTCAGATTTGGGTGGCATGCAGAATACGCCTTGAAGGTAAAATGTTATCAAAATCATGTGCAAAGATCAAAGGGCGTGGCCACGTCAGCCCTCTGATTTTTGATCCTTTGCCATGAAAGAGGAAGTACTGTGTAACTACCATGTACATGCTCCAATATGCCTTAAACTTTACATATTTGATCAGACTGTTGTCCTGATCACATCTGTATGCCAAAATCCATTCACAGTCATAGCGCTACCGATTGGAAGTGCGAGGGCCCGTCCAATGCTTCTTGCAGCTTTAATTACTTTTAGCTTTTGGATCCTGAAGAAACGCTCTCTCATCTTGTTTGTACTACTGTTGTATGAGCAGCAAAATGACAATAAACTTGATTTGATTTGTTTTGAATGAAGCTGCACAACTACAGTATCGCACACTGTATGCATTGCCACGGGAATATACATGGATTAGTTGGTAATGCAGAAAAAGCATAAATGTGTCTTTGTGTTTGGTCTCAATTTGCTGGCAAGTTTCTTTTTTGTGTGTTGCAGCTAACAGAATGAATAGAAAACTGATCATTCTGTTGGTATTTAATAAAGAAAACATTTAGTCAGGATCATTAATTTCACCTTGATTTAAAGTGACACCCTGCATTATGGGACAGTGTCAAATCTAAATGCATTTCAATACAATATCATATTTAAATATATGAAGCTCTAAAGTACAGCTGTCAGTCTGAAATAAGTGGCTACACTGATCAGTAAAATAAATGTAGTAACACAAATTAACAGTATTCTGACAGCATTCCTGTCATGCATCATTTGCAGGAGCAGACCCCAACCTAACCCGAACTGTTTTTACTGTCATAAATGTTTATATTCCTTGTAGCTACACATTAAACCTACCTGCTGATTGAAGTAGGCAGGACACCATTGGTCCATTTTGTGCAGAAGAAGAGTTGCCTTTGTGATACCTGATACCTCTGACTGGGGCTTTAGTTCTTGTCAAGCCAGCTTATACATAGACAGTCTTTGTGTAAGTCGGCTATGTCAAACTTGCTTCATGGTACAGCCCTGTGTATCGTTCTACTTCTTTTTAGATAAAACGAAAATAAAAACAAAACAGAAAGGCTTTTGGCTTTATCAGTGCGTACTGGACAGTTCACACAGGAGTATGTTGAGATGGCAACCCAGGAGCAGTGTTGCACACTACAATGTTACAAGCACACATCAGGGGGTCTTTTGCACTGTTAAAGATATATATACTTTTCTAACTGGATGTTTAATGTGCCGTGTTAAAATTGGTGAAAGAAAGACCGAAAAGCAACAGATTCATATGATCGTGATTCTTGGCCTGCTCATTCACAATTCATTTTCTCTTAATAAGAATCATAGCTAACTAACTAAAGTCTATGTTTCTAAATAATATAACTATATAAATAGCGCATTTCATTATAATAACTGATTCTCAATAAAAGCAATAGTGGGACATACTGGTTGCAAATGTTTGGTCACATAAGTAACTGAATTTACTAAATCTATGTCAGGAAACAGTGACAGCTAAGGATGACATTCATGCAGGAGTATTTTTCATTTTTCTTTTTGCTGAAAAGAAAAAGAAAAGAAAACTCTACTTTATTTCACCCTCATATATTTCCAGTGTTATGCCAATTTTGACTGTATGGGTCATAATAATGTTTCACTCTACACGTCCATTGTAGAGATTCAGGCAAATGGGAATTTGCACAAAACTGAGTGAATGCCAATTTTATGCCATCCCATGGGCCTAGCTACTGCGTTTACCTTGACTCAGACTTAAGTACAAATGTTTAAAATGATTCATCTTTTTTTTGTTTTCTTTTAGAAAGCTGTATGAAGATCATGCTACATGCCATTTTGTTGGGTTGAAATAAACTAGAATTCTCCTTTAGGTTATCTTTGAATCTGTAGTAAGTATGTGCATCATTTTACCAGAAAAGCACAGAGCATGTAGAAACTCATGAAGTAGATGATGGCAAAGTTGGATCCACAAGTGTATTCTTCCCCAGGCAGGTAGTCCGACTTTGGGTCACACTTCTTCCCATACATAGAAGCTAACATCACTTCGTGCCACGCCTCCCCTGTAGCACATCTAAGTAACAGAGTTAGTAAAAAGTTTCAGGCCACACACTGAAACAAAACACACTGAAAAAGCTATTTGTCACTTCTGTATTACTGTCTAACTTGGTCTTTTTACCTGTTGGCTTTGGGAATGGGATTTAATCTATGTTACCCAGTTAGAAGCAGCAGAAAACCATTAATGCTGCTTCTGCAAAAGCAGTCCGTCAAAGATGTAAGCAATGTACATGTGAGTTTTCTTTCTGTGAGTATTGATAATGTTGAAAATGTAAAATGTGAGTTTCTGTTTCACTTGGCTACTGCATAAAAGTACACTATGAACATAAATATAATTTTATTACATGGCGTGTATTTATTTAAATGATCACCAGTGTAATTTTTTTGTGAATATTTTAAATATTTAATGTTACAACTAATGGATGTGTTGTTCCTCAGGCTTTACACATGGTCTTTGTTCTAAAAGTGATGTGCTTATGTAAAAAAAAAAAGCATTTTATTTTTTTTTAGCAGATTATTTAAAGTGCACTTTTGCTGTTGTAACGGCATAGGTAGTGCTCATAGCATTGTTTTTTTCTCTCAGACATTTACTTATCATTAAGCCTTATAGCTGTACCATCAACTTAGTAGCCGTAATGTACTGTGAATGCATTCAGTTGCCAATCCACAGGTAAATTATGCAGCCCTTACTTATACCTCAGTGAACTCAAACCAGTTTCTGATGTCACACCAATAATTTTATGGTTGAGGCAAATCCACGGCCATCAGCTTATGTGTTGCCAAATGCACCCTGAGCTCAGCATGGAAATCAAATTTACAAATAGACAAGATGGAAACTAAATACAAGTATTTGAGGATTATCAGTTGTTGCTGTTGTGGTGTCCATGACACACAACTGCCTTTTCTTTATCTTAACTACTAGATAAAACCTGAAGGCTGTACTACAAAGTCAGATTAGTGGGTTAGCGAGGTATGATAAGACTAAAGTCAGAGTTTTCATTTTCACAAAGGTGGCTCTCTTTATGCTGCTAGATCACCATGGTAACAGTGCTGTTTAACATCATGCATTTTTATATTCCTCATTGTTTTCCATTATAACAACCTGATGACTGAAGCAGCTGCACACGATTGTTTTACTTTGTGCAGAAGAGTCACAAGGCATGTTAAATGCCTCCTTTTCTATGACCACATGCAAAGTTTGAAGCAGAAAGTCTGAGTTAACAGAGAAAGTTGATATCCACCTTCATGATACCTGTGATCTCTGGCTGGGGCTTTAGTTTTTGTCGTGCCAACTTACACAAAGAAAGCTAGCTTCATTGTCAGGCCCCCATCACAGCCTCAGCCTCCGCCTATCCCTCTCTCTCCCTTTCTATCCCCGTCCCTTTCACTCGGCCTCGCTCTCTCTCCGTCTCTCCTGTCTTTGCATTCTTTTATGCAGTGTGCCTAATTACAGGGATTGGAGGCAGTAGTGGGGAGTGGCTCATCTGCATCTAATCACCTTGTTCCATAAAAACCTGGCTCTTCCCTCGACTCTCCGCAGGATCGTAGACATTGTTGCCTAATTTTCCTGCTGATTCCCAAGCCGCTGCCACCTGACCGTCCTGTATCAGCGACACACTCGCTGTCTTGATCATATTCGTTTTCCTTAGATCCCTCCTCTGTTGTTAGAGTTTTTCTTGGGCTTTTGTAGTTTTGCTCGTGCGCCTGCTTAGTTCTTCCATTCCAAATGAGTTTGTGTTAGTTTTTTTGTTAATAAAACTTTTGTGTGTTGAAAACATGTCTCCGCCTGAGCGTGTCCACCGTGACATTCATAGTACAGCCCTCTCTTCTTTCAATTTGATCTATTTTGAAGCTTGGCAGCCGATCACAAATAAAAACATGTAGCCATGGCATTCCTACTTGACATATAAAGGACAGTATAAACACTTAATATTTTTACTTTTTGGTACAAAAATAATAGGATATTACAGGCATGTTAGTGCTCTGTAGTGGGTGTGTGTTCAATACCAAGGTGTTTATTTATCACACCAGATATCATCATGCAGTGGTGTAGGATGCTGCCAGTTGCAGTGATGGTTATTCAATGCATACTTTTGGGGCTTTAACACTAAATGAAATGACACCAACCTGAATAACAGCAGCACAGCCTGTGGGAATGTCTGGAAGTTGTTGTTTCTGTTTATGTATGTGCCATCAACCAAAGCAATTTTACCAAATATCTGTAGAAAAAAGACATTTTCATTAGGGATAATATCCACACCAGCTCTCCGGTAGCACACCAGGGATTTTTAGGACTTGCTGTAATGGAGCATATAGACTTAGAGGGTATACCACTGCCAAAAAATGCCACATTAATTTTTTTCTACAGACTAGTATAGACTAAATAAATACTTGTGCGTAGAAATGTAGCTATTAATGTACATGTGTATCCAATTAGATGGGCGTGCAGTAATAACATTCTTAAAGTTTTGAAACTGAAATACATAACATGTAAGAAATTACTTAATAAAATTGTTTGTCCAACACGAGAAAGCAAGGGAATTAGCAAACCAAAGCTACCAGCTTTCCATTAATTAGGTCCTGTATTTCCTTTCTCTTCTCACCATTAGGTGACTTTGATGTCAAGGTTGACAAAAATTAATTTGTGTGTGTCTGTGTGTGTTATGAGTTTGTGTGTGTATACCTGCATTCCAACCACAGCATATATAAAGAACAGCATTAGAATGAGCAGGGCAACATAAGGAAGAGCCTGCAACACAACCAATGACACAATCAGATGGACATCGTCAGCAGGACTAAAGGCTCATGTGTGTTGAGTGATTATACTGACCTGAAGAGATTTGATGAAGGTCCACAGAAGATTTCGTATGCCCTCAGAGCGATTCAAAAGCTTCACCAGACGCATGACACGGAAGAGTCTGAAGAATGTGATTGACACGCTCATGTTCTCAGAAGACTGTTTTAGAGAGTGTGGACAAATGGAACATTACATTGTGCCAACTACTAAACACTGCTGAATTCAAAATTCAACTTCAAGAAATGTTGACACAACTCACCGCAATAGCTTGCATGGGATCCACTTCCTGCAGAGACAAATGTATTTTTTATACTGCTGTTTTTTGACAAATTACTTTAATAAACACATTTTGCTACATACAGTATATGATGGAAGTGAGCACTCCTTAGTGAAATATCACTGATGAGTCAAAATGGAATCACCTCTCCATAACTGCATTTTTTCAGAGCTGATAAGTAGTCTTTCCTCTTATGAACAGTCAATAACGATTACTTTAAAGAGACAGCAGAAGGTAAACAGCCTGTTATCACACACAACATGCATGAATATGAGAGGGTAAAAGAGGGTAAAATGGGCCTGAGGGTCGATGGATTTGGTGGATATGTAGATTTGGATGTCATCGGCGTAACAGTGAAAACGGAGGCTGTGGCGATGGATAACCTGACCGAGGGGGAGGAGGTAAAGGATGAAGAGGAGAGGGCCAAGCACCGAGCCTTGAGGGACACCGTGGGACAGGGGGGCAATAGAGGAGGAGCAGTTGTTGATAAAAATGAACTGTTTCTGGTCTGTGAGGTATGATGTCAGTCAAGTGAGGGCATCATCCGTTATGTGGAGAAAAGATTTTAGACGGGAAAGCAGGATGGAATGGTTAATTGTGTCGAAGGCGGCAGTGAGGTCAAGGAGGATGAGGATGGAGAGTAGGCCTGAGTCAGAGGAGAGGAGGAGATCATTGGTAACTTTGAGAAGGGACGGAGGAACAGTGGATGAGCTAAGAGAGGAGTTGACAATTCTGGTGATAAATGGGGCAATGGTGAGGAGGCCATGTTTAATGAGGGAGGATGGGATGGGGTCTAAAATGTAAGTGGAAGATTTTATGGAAGTGATGATTTTAATCAGATCAGCTTGGGAGACTGGTGAAAATTTAGAGAGAGGAGAGGTGATGAGAGGAGGGGAGGGGAGGGAGGGGACATGGGAGGGGGGCGGTGTGGATAAGGAGTTTGGATTGGAAGAACAAGAAGAAGGAGTTGCATTTATTAACAGTAAATGAATCTGAGGTGTTCTCGCTGAGGTTGAGCAGTTTGCTAATGGTGGAAAAAAGAGCCTTTTGGTTATTGGAGCCTGCATGGATGAGGTTTGAGTAGTAGGTGGAGCGGGCATTGATGAGGGCGGATTTGTAAAGTTGAATGTGGTCCATGTATGCTTGTAGATGAACTGTAAGTCCTGATTTTTTAGAAAGTCTTTCAAGCTGGCGTTTTTGTGATTTTAGGTGGGGAAGATCAGGGGTGAACCAGGGGGCTGAGTGTGTAAAAGAAACTGTTTTGGTTTTTAAGGGGGCTAATTGATTGAGGCAGGTGGAGAGAGAGTTGTTATAGTGGTTGATAAGGTATTCTAGGTTGCCTGACGGGGGGGGAAATAGGTAAGGTGGCACTGAGAGCGACCGAGAAGTCTTGAGGCTGGATAGATTTGATGTTTCTGAAGGATATGGTGCATTTTTCTTTTTGGATGGGGGTGGGAAGGTGGATGTCAAAGATTATGGCCAGGTGGTCGGAGATGTGGAGGTTGAGGCTGGTGAGTTGCTGAATGGTGAGACCAGTGGAGCAGACTAGTTCCAGGGTGTGGCCATGGGAGTGGGTGGGGAAGTTGACATGTTGTGTGAGGTTTAGACAGTCGAGGAGGTCCAAGAAGTCTGAGGCGAGTTTGCAGTTTTTGTTGTCGATGTGGAAGTTAAAGTCACCTAGAAGTAAAACTGAGGGTGAGATGGCTGTTAGATGAGTGGCGAGGTCAGTGAAATCAGAGAGGAAAGACGGGTTAGGCTTGGGGGGGCAGTAGATTATAGCGATTACAAGGAAGTTGGGGGAGAGTAATTTGAGAGCAATGTGTTCAAATGATTCAACCGAGGGAGTGGAAATACGGTTAACTTTGAGGTGGCTCTTGAGAATGGAGGCAAAACCGCCGCCTCTACCAGTGGGGCGGGGTCGGTCAATGTATTTGTATCCAGAGGGGGTGGCTTGGTTGAGGGAGAAATAATCTATATGGCTATGCCAGGTTTCAGTAATACAGAGGAAGTCGAGGTTATTATCCATGATAAAATCATTCAGAATGACTGCTTTATTGTTGATGGAGCGAGTGTCGTGAAGAGCAGGCTTGAGGATTTGCTGCTGGGCACCATGTTGTGAGATGCGGGGGAGCAGGGAGAGGTTTTATATATAGTCCTCATACACACGTGGACAATATTGTTGGTATTCCTCGGTAATGAAAGAAAAACCCACAGTGGTCACAGAAATAACTTAAATCTGACAAAAAGAAATAATAAATAAAACTTCTATGAAAGTTTAGCAGTGAAAATCAGACATTGCTTATGAACAGTGGTTCAACAGAATTATTAAAAAAAAAACTAATTCATGAAACAGGCCTGGACAAAAATGATGGTACCCCTAGAAAAGACTGAAAATAATGTGACCATAGGGACATGTTCAATCAAGGTGGGTGCTGTGATTATGGACACGTTTCATTGTATGTCTCGTATTCCTGTGGATTTTCTGTGTGTTTTTGGTTGGTGTGTCTTTCACTTTCAGGCTGGGCGGGGGCCGATCGGAGGAGGACGCTCCCTCACCGGTACAGCTGCGACTCATTGTCTGATCAGTAGACAGGATAAAGCCTCCACTCACCTGGACTCCTGTGCCAGATGATTGTGATCCCCACCAGTGGTACATGCAGGCCATTAGCAGCAGTTTTGAGTGCTTGTGTTCCTCTGCTAAACTATTTCGAGTTTACGAGTAATTGTGACTTCTCTTCTCTGTTCTCCAGCGTCCTCTCCGCCGGCCCCAGCGTCCAGCCGTCTGCCCTCACGCCAGCCTTTAACCACACATTCCCCGCTGCACACCGTGGCGTCTCCAGTAAAAAAAACCAGACCACTCCTCAACCGTCTCTGCATCTGTCCAACACCATTCTGCCTCACCACTGCCACCTGGTCCACCGTCTACCCTCCGGCTCCCTGCAGTCACTAAGCCTCCCATCTTATGCTGGGTTCCTACATATCATTTGCAGACTGTAGTACTGTACATACCGTTTGGTCTGCTTGTTAATTAATCTCCCTCCTGGCCTGGTAGTACGAAGTTCGAGTCGGATTACAATTGCCGATACTGCCAAGTAATTCCTGCGTCTAGTATTATCTGCTCTGTCTTTGTATCTAGTTTCTGTGATTTGTTTTATACCTCTTTAGTAATTATCCGCTCTGCCTCTGGTAGTCAGTAGTGTACTTTTCCTTGAGTTCTGGTTGTATTTTCCATTCATGTTAGTGTAGCCTTTGACCGGTTACCCTTGACCCAGTTTCCCATTCTGGCTAAAGTATAACTATTGTAGCATAGCTTCTTGCTTTCATTTTATTTTGTATACACATTAAAATCACTGCTGTAAATAAAAGTGCTCTTTGTTCAAATGAGCCTGTCTCTGCTGTGTATCTGTCTGCACGAGTCTCTGAGTCCAATCCATGACACTTTCCAAAGGAAACCAATTAGCATCTTGTATTATCAGGCAAGTAAGATTGTGAAAAGCCATGGAGCTGGCCACAAGCAGTGAAAATTATTTATTACTAGTTTTACTCATCAATTTATTAAACTGACAAGAATAAATACAGAGTTCTTTTCAACTGGAACAATTGCCCTTCATAGATACCTTCCAGGAGAAGCTTGAATTTTGTGTTGGTATGGATATTGTTTATAGATTTGGCATCATAAAACACTCAAAGCTTTAGAATTTTAGGAAAAACATGATCACAGCAAAAGATTAGATTTCAGGCTTCAGTCTGAATTAATCAGTTCAGAAAGTGTTTAGTTGCTTTTACTTTTTGCACACTTAGTTGTCTTATGGATTTAATTTTAAATGAATGAAATGGGCATTATTTACAATTAATATACATTCAATCCCCCATTCAAAATGAAAAGCATGCTTTTAGAAATATTTGCAATTTAAATGAATCACAACCTGAAATCACGTACCAAATTATTTAGACCCTTTGCTGTGGCACTCTAAATTATGGTCCAGTATGTTCTCGTTCATGAGGTGTATCTAAAACTTGAACGGAAACTACCCGTTGACTTTAATAGATTGGAAATAGTTTCGAAAGGTGCACATTTGAGCATATAAGATCACACAGTTCAGTGTTTGTCATGACTAAAACCAACCCATCTTAATGGAACTGACAACAGTCTCGAGAGGCACCGATCAGGGTTAGATCTACAAAACCATTTCAAAGGTGTTACTGAGAGCACTGTGTCAGTTGTGAAATGTAGGAAGTATGGAACCAACATGACTCAAATGTGGCAGTCTGACTGGAATGAGTATATGAGTATGTAGGCCTTGATCAGGAAGGGGATTAGGAACCTAACAGTTAATTTAAATTGCTAACGAGCTTCAGAAGTCCCTGTCCAGACATTAGAAAACTTGCCTGAAGGAAACATCTCAGAACTACTTAATCAATCAGGCTTTTATGGTAGAGCAGCAAGATGTAAGTCACTCTTGAATAAAAGTTACAACAATCCACCACAAGCATGCCAATCAGCATTTTAAGCACTCTGGTACTGTACGCACTACTCATCCCCTTATGCTATCCCTACGGTGAAACAAGTTCGTAACAGTATCATCTATGGGAGAGCTTCTCAGCGGCAGGGACAGTGAGACTGGTCAAAATTAATGGAAGAATGAACATGGCCAAAAACGCAGACATCAATAAACAAAACCTGCTTCAAAGTGCAGTGACTTTCCACTTGAGTGAGAGTTCACTCTGTTGCACAACGATTACTTGAAGCAAATCAAATACTACGCTGGAGTGGCTTTTGGACAATTCTCAGGAAAGTGGTAGAGCAAAAGCTTAGACTTCAACCCCATAGAACATTTGTTGAGAAAAAAAAAAAAGGCAGAACACTCTTCATGCAATCTGATGGGCCTTGACAGGATCTGCAAGGAACAATGGAATAAACTGCTCTGACCAGGTGTGCAAAGCTTGCAGAGACTGTGATTGCTTCTTAAGGGTCCCCTACAGAGGGTTGAATTATGGGTCTGAAGTCTATGCCTGGTAGAGTATATAGTATGAGCATTTTATGAGATTTTTCACAAATCTGGCAACTAAATCGTTACCAAACAACTTCTTCACCAATATGTTTGTAAAGGTGTAATATCATGCCTTAAAATGTTGAAGTTCAACTCTCGTGGGAAACCCTGAAAAACACCTGCTCAAGTTAGGGTACCGATAAATGATTGACGAAAAATCAATTTTACAATTTCTATGTGATTAATATATTTTTAAAAAAAAAACAATATTAGCAGACCTGATGAAACTGAAAGATGAACTTAAAACACTGTCTGAATCAGTGCAGTGTTTGTAAAAATGACATTTCTTCTAAACTGGTATCTTCACCCGCTGACTGTAAAAAAACATGACATCAGCTGTTGGTAAATGTCTGAACTAATCATTAACAAATGAAATATGTGACTTTTTCTTCTTTTTATGTCCATTATGTAGGATTGCTCATCTTTTTGTCTCTTACACAGCTCTATGTGGGAAACCTGTTTAACCACAGATGCTACATGATTCAGCTAAAGTTTAAATGTTGTTTCTC